AGTCTGAACATTGGAACCATTCCCCAGTGCATAGGGAACCAGGAAGTGTGAATCTGCTTCCAGCCACGTTCACGATCCAGGCCTTGGTGTCTTGATTCCGCTGGTGCTTTGTAAACAGTGTAGTATGCATCTCTAACCTCTGTCCTTTCCCGCTCCTCATCTGCCAGTCCGTTTGGGCTCTCTTTGATGGGCCCCTTGGCATCACTACTCTAAGCATGAAATTTCAAGGGAGACAAACACGGAAGGTTGTAAAGTCTAGACCAGAGAACTTATAATGACAACCAGCTTCTAATAGTTTCACCCTCCTTATCTTTTTCTTTTTATCACAGTAAGACCAAAACTTCCCCTAACACATGAGCTGTCACCCCATCGTCTTAAAATCCTTCCTGTTTCCGCGATACTGCTCATTTAGCCAAAAATGTTAAGATCGCATTTTAACTTGATAAACTTCAAAGTTTTAACAAAACTTTCTAGTCTTCCAACGCGTCTTACACTCACGTCTCTTGATGGAACGTGCGCACACTGACCAGTATGTTCCTGTCGGACGAGCTAACTGTAATAACACTCCCGCTTCCCTTGCTGGCAGTTAGTGTTTGTGCTGCCTGGGTGCTTCATTTATATTCAGCTGCTCCTTCCAGCTCTTCTGCTTGGGAATTAGCGAAGTTATTTATATAACACCCAAGGATATAAAAACTACAACCAGATTGTATCTCAGATTTAAAAACAGTTGCATTGGGGAGTTTTGAGTACAAGTTTGTTTGTGATTTTTACTTTAATCTTTAGTTAAATTTTTGTTTCTAATCACAGCTGGATCTTCATCATTTCAGGGAAGTTCATAATTTGTGCCTTTCAACCACACAGCCCCTGCTTCTTTTCTGCTACTCTCAAATCTTTGCGTTTTAACCATACTTTGATTGGAGTAACTGCCCCGAGTAGTGTCTGTTGTAAAATTAATAAAATAGACATTCTTCACGGAGCTTAAGTGACAAGGTCTCCCATGGCTCAGTACCAGTTCCAACCCGGCACCATGAACTATGCAGGTCCAGGGCAAGGATGACTGTTTGTGTGGATGGTATAGTGTGCTGCCCAGATGCCTCTTCAACATTGAGGCTCTCATTGCCCCAGCTGCTGGGAATAGTGACTGGCGAAGGCTCACATCCAGGTCCCTCTGTGTTCATCCACGGAATTAAAACACTTCAGTCACAGTTACATGTACTTCTTGGGGATCATCTTGTGTCCACGGACTGATAGGTGCAGCTATAAAGGCTCTCATCACTAACTTCATGGAAAGACAGTTCTGCATGTCAATCCCAGCTGTCACATCCTCCATGGCCCCACTTGGTTTTTGTGGTGGCTACATCATAGATCTCAGCTAGCTGCTCCTTAAATCCCACATAGATGCCAAACACAAGGATACTGCTCAGTAGCTTCCTGTGTGTGAAGTTGTTTCAGAATCTATTTCATAGGCAACACATCCTCGGATGAGAGTTCATGGGGAGAGAGAAGAAAGATCACTATTTGGCCATGTAGATCTCAGAGGGAAGGCATTCCATAAGAAACCCAATGGGACTGGATGGAGGTGGGTGGTCCTTGGACTTCCCACAGGTCAGGGAACCCTGATTGCTCTTCGAGCTGATGAGGCAGGGGATCTTGATCGGGGGAGGGGGAGGGAAATGGGAGGCGGTGGCAGGGAGGAGGCAGAAATCTTTAATAAATAAATCAATTTTAAAAAAATTTAAAAAAAAGGAAAAAAAAAGAAACCCAATGGGAGCAGAAATGTGACTTATTTTAGCCTAACAGAGGAAGATCAGGAAAGATTTCTTTTTCAGAATAAGTGACCTTTGAGCTTGATTTGGAAAAACAAAATATTTCCTAGGAAAGGAAAAGTATACAGTGTTCTGGGCATGTGCACCGTTTTTAAAAGATGTAGCAATGAACTCAAGTATGGTGGCTAAAAGATGAAGCCCACGTGTGAGATGGTTGGGGATGAGGAGGAGCCAAGTCACAAAGCACACCGCTGACTGTAAGAGTCCCCAAGCTGTAGTGTGCTCTTCTGCTCTCTCCCTACCTGACAGACATGGTGCCTGTCCCACATAGGAGATGTGACCTGGACAGACTTGGAGGCATCTCTCCCACTGCGTCTACTGAAGTCTGTTTTCTTCAAAACTCTTATTTTACATTCCACTCTCTCCTACTTTAGCAAAGCTCAATATATACACGATGAGCCCAGCTCTTTGGTTAAAAATAGCCATGTATAAAAAGATATAAAGCGTTCCATTGTTGTGCTTAAAATTTTATGATTAGAAACTCTGAAAGTTTCAAGTTGGGGAGACAGAGCAGACATGGGAGCCCCACTTTGAAACCTCTCTCAGGGGATTTTCCCTTTGTTTCTAGTGTGGATCTGGTAGAAGAAAATTGGTCTAAATCTAAATTGTGTTGGGAGTACTAATAAATAATTGTAAAATTGAAGAATTGGGCTTAATCATTTACTTTTGAGAAACCTGAAATCTGGAGCAAGCACGCAGAAGAAATTACTATAAAATATGATGTCCATAAGGTCATACAGTAGGTATTGTCAAAGCCAGGACAATGTGGCATGTGCCTTATGTATTACGTTGCCCTTGTTATGGTTACATAGGAGTTTGCCAGACCCCTCTGAAAGGCTGGAGTCCGAAAAGTAGAAGTGCCAACCTCAAGTGCCCTCATGAGCTCAGTGACCCAGTTAACCAGTCAGCTCTGAGTCTAATACCTCACCTGAGAAATGACAGCCTGGACTGGAGGGAGTGCTAGCACCCCTAATCCTGCAGTGTGAAAGGGGACATACGTGTACAGTAAAGGGAGTTGTTTAATGAAGGTTAAGGTGCCCTTCATGGCCTGTGTCGAAGCCAGTTACTTTCTTGGAAATGTCATTTTTTTTTTTTTCTGATTTGGGGACATTTTTCGTGAGGCTAATTTTAGGCATATTTAAAGCTCTCTTCATTGTAGAACTATCCAGTTTACCCATTCTGTGAACAGAGCACTCACAGACCATAATGCTTTACCTTAGAAACTAAGCTTTGTATGTTGCTCAGAGCCAAGCCTCAGTGCAAACAAATACATTCTCTGGTCTGGCGTTTTCTGGTTTATTCAACTCCATTACAGACTGGGCTTAAGAAGAAAAAAGATTTAAAAAGTTAAGCCTCCAGAGAAGCAAAACAGAAGCCCCAGGAAGACGGTTTGAGTTACATTAGCTCAGATCAGCAGAGGAGAAAAGAGGAGGGATTGCCATTCTTCAGACCGTCATTGGCCCCGGACCTATACCCCGGGAGCCTCTGCTATTTTAATTTCACCACTTCAAGATGGAGGGAAAGTAGGTTAATAGTTTCTGTGAGTTTAGACTGTAACGGAAGGCAGCTACAGAACCTCAGGCAGCCGCAGCTCATAGGGGAGGATGATGATGATGGATTTCCCAGTTCATCTTGGGAATGGATTCCAGTGTTGGAGACAGTGGACCAGTGCTGTCTGCCATTCATTCTTTCTGTAGGCATTCATCCCCAGTTTGTTTTTGTCCCAAGCCATCTACGAAACAGAAAAATATATTCTTAAGAAACAATCCCTTCCTTCTGTGAAATCACAGCATTATAATGTAATAAGGTAGATACAGTTTAGTGTTGTTAAAAATAATAAACTGAAGTAGGGGCGAAAGGAGAAAGAAGTAATGCCTTCATGTGGGTCATCAGAGAGCCTTCTGAGCTGTGTATATTATAAGGTCAGAATGGCAAATTGCAACAGTTCATGAGGTCATGAGTCAAGACACAGAATCTCAGGGGTGAATGAGAGTGAAGCACCCTGCCTGGATGCGATGAGGAACTGAGCCTAGAGAGTGGGATAAAATGTCCTTGAGGAATTCACTCTACATTACAGTGCCATCACGGTGTGTTGTCAGGAGAAACACCTAGTCCCATCCGTGTTTCAGGAAGCAGATTGGTCATCCTTGTAGAGGCCAAAGGGTTTATTTCAGGAGGTTATATAAACAAAGAAGCCAGTGCTGAAGAGTTGCCTTGGGTCAGTTTTCAGGACACCTGTTACCTCAATACAGGCATAGCTCTCTTCAAAGCCTCCGAAGGCAGTTTTTCCTTAATTTCCATGATCCACCCACTTCTGTGTCTTCTGTTGACCTCTCCACCCTACGTTAATACCTGATTTTAGTGAGTCACTTCAGATACTTTGTCTAGAAAGTAACACGTATCACACGTGAGAAAAGATTGGTTGAGAGCACAGCTGGGGAGGAGGGGTGGGGCTCACAGCTGGCCCTTTCGAATGCTGACTTGCTGACTGTTAGCTCTTAAGGTTCACACATGTTCCTAAAGCTCCGTTGTGTTTTTGAATCCAGATAAGCCGAATTTCCTAGTTTACTTTTCACAACCGGACCACCACTTTATGCCCAGCCTTTTTTTTTACCAGGGCTTCATTTAGCCTGAATTTTGAGGTTTTAAATGGGAGTTTGATTTGGGCTCTATGGAGGAGTATACAGTGTCGCTGTCATCACACATTAGGGGCCTCACTGCCCCTGGTCATTAGTGTTCAGTCGAGTTTTCCTTGTAACAGTAAAGCAGTTTTTCTAAGTACAGAACCTGGGTGATATAGCTCAGCAAGCACATCCAACCTACCCCTCTTTCTGTCAATAAAGCTTTACTGAATTACGGGCCCTCTGCTTGTGTGCGCTCAGAGGCAGCCTTTGCATTGTGTGGGCAAATGGAGTGGTCAGTACCACGGGTCCTTATTATCCGAGGCTTTATTGAAAAATGTGGCTTCACTCTTGGTGAAGTAGAAAGGAATGCCATAGAAGGCAGACACAGCGGGTATAGAGAAACACGGGTGTGCTGCCTACTGCCTGGGTGATCCCCTCGGACCTGCCTGTGTGCGTCATTCTCACTGATGGTGTCCACCGCCTTCCCTGAGGGCTATGATACCCGCCAGAGCCACGCTGTTGTGCTGAGCAGTTTTCTTTCTTTCCTCAGAACACTCTGGAGCAGTGCAGTATGTGTTCGAAGCCCATCATGGAGCGCATCCTCCGTGCCACCGGCAAGGCCTACCACCCTCACTGCTTCACCTGCGTGATATGCCACCGTAGCCTGGATGGCATCCCGTTCACCGTCGATGCCTCTGGTCACTTCTACTGCATCGAGGATTTCCACAAGTAAGCAGCCGCTCTCACCTCCAGCCTGCCAGCCCTCTGAAGTCTGCTCCGTTTGCCTGCCACTGGCCATGATTCTTTCTGAGAGACATACCCCAGGATCTAGGGATGTATCCCGAGAGTTATCTCTCTCCAGTGTGGGCTTGACATTTGGGGATCCCCGACCTTATCCAGCTTAGCCTCTCTGCAATCGATCATGACATCCTTGTGTAGCTATAGATAGGGAGCTGTTGACTCAGTTCGACAAGGGTCATGGCATTTGACACGTTGCACAATTAACTTCAAGTAATGGTCTCCTAACTCTGGCAACCTCTGCACCCTGGTTCCTGAAAGGGTAGGAGGCACTGCTGGTAGGTAGGTGTAGGAATGCAGACAGCAATTCTGTCACACAGTTTCAATGTGAGAGGCAGCCTCGTGCCATAGCCAACAAATCCGCATCCTCCCTTAGCCTCCTCCCCACCAAGGGCTTTGGTGCCTCCTTATGCTTCCTAATGACATCGGTTAGTGCAGCATGTACCGCGCTTTGAGAAGGATCGGAAAGAAAACTCTCAGGGTCAAATCTACTAAACCACAGGCAGGCCTAGAAACATGCCTTCCTTCTTCACGTTTCCGATTTTACAGTGTCTCTCTCTTCTGCTATAGGAGGAGGCTTTGAGAAAACGATAGCTTTGTATTTTTCTTAATTGTGCTGGTCTGCTGGCTAACTGGTTCTTGGCATCAGTGCCCTTGTTTATTATGGTCTGTGTGGAAAGCGGCAGGTACAGGGTGGCTTATTTGCTTCCGTTTGCTGGGCACTCACTTTAAGAGAGCTTTGTAAGGCTCCCAAAAGATGAAGCACATTGCTGACCACTTTGGGCTTCGCTCCGAGGCTCGGGACGGGCCTGTGGGTTTCTTTGACCACTCTTGATTGTCAACATCCAGAAGGGACTTTCCACAAACACTTTGGGGACCTAAAATTCGTATTTTTAAAATGAATTTCCTGACCACTGTCTCAAGGAGCCGTGAGGCTGAATGAATTATAAAACCCCAGAAGCAGAAATTTTCAACCTGAATTAGACAAGAAAAAGCTTGCTTTTAAAGGGCAGCCACAGCATAAATCGTACTTCACATTATTGCTATTTTTAGCTTGTAATTACACATTTTTAAAAAAACCTGCATCTATTTAAGGGAAGCGAAAAGATACCAACGGGGAGTGTTTTTCTGTCACCGTTTCTCTCCTGTTTGAGAGTTTCTCCATCTGAGAAAGACAGGTAGATGTAAGCAGGGCACACACTCTTGTGCGGCTGGGAAAGCCTGAGCTATTACACCCCTCAATTAAAAGAGGAAATCAGTGCTGACAGAGGAAATTTGTGTCTCTGCCACTCACCTTTCATTTCTAGTGGTGAGGAGCGTAATTAGAGACTGGCAACGGGTGGCATGAGCGTGTGGGTCTGAACCCTCTAAAAAAGCACACTTGAGCAACTGAAAAGTGGGGGGAATACATATCTCAAGCCCCAACCCCCTCTTTCTTTCAGTGCACATGAAAAAAACATTAATTTTTTTTAAAAAAAATAATTTTATCTACATAATTAGTAGATATGGGGCGGGGACTTTTAGAAGGAAAATAAAAGAACATTTTGCAGAGCTCTCATCGCTTAGCTTGGACAGTACAAGAATAGAGAGTGGCTAGTCTTACATGTCAGGATGGTAGCCTTCCAATCTGGGGTGCATACTGCACAGCCAGGGAGACCAAGCGAGTGGCAGAGCCTGCCTCTCTACTTTGGGAAAGCTTTTCTCTTTGGCTTTTCTGAATGGGTCTCTACGGCAGGCTTTTAGGAAACACATTTGTCATCAGTTCTCACGTTCACAGACTTCTGTGTGCCAGCAGCTGTGTTGAATGCAGAGGGAGAAGCTGGACACAGAGAGCTGGACACAGGGATGCAGGACAGAAAGGGTGGCACTGGGAGAGGAGGTAGGCACAAGGAGAGCTGCTCTGCCTTCTTCAGAGCGGATCCTTTGACTCCGGGATCCAGGCAGGCCTCACGCAAGCAGGACTGGAAGTGTGCCGAGTGAGAAGCAGGAGGATTGCTGATAGAGAGGATATGGGGTTGGCTCTGGCAAAGCCTATAAAATGGCATCTCAGAACCTGTCACTTGGAGGACAGAATCTTGAGGCTTAGTAAATGGACCGTTTCCTTATAAAGACCTTTGGTTAAGGTTGAACTCCTTCACAGATATGCTCACCAGTAACTGTTGAGTACTCCCTTGTAGGGAGCCTGTTTTTGTCCCTGTACACAAGTATGTGGGAGATGAGCAGTGAACGCACGCACACACATACACACGTGAGTGTGCGCGCATACACACACAGACACACACACACACACACACACTTCCTTCTCATTTTCCTTACATGGCTTTCTTTAAAGGCTAAACTTACTATTTTAGTAAGGCTTCTTTAATTTTGCCTCTCCTCATCCCCAGTTATGAATTTATGCTACCTCTATATTTGAGCAATTTTGTAAATCTATTATGGTGTTGCCCATGACCTATACATGTGAACAAATTTTTACAGTAAACAACTTAAATCAACTTTGCAAGAAGGTAGGCTATATATAAAAGTTTAAAGCAAATAGAGAAGCATGGAGAATCCCCTAGCAGGTCTGTGCTGGCATCTGAATCTGTCCTCCTTGTGCCGGGGAGAGTGGGCTTGCGCTGTTCTTCCTAGTGGTGTGTGGCATAAACAGTGACCTGTGCTTTTCCGGGAGAGGTGTCATCCGTGGTGATAGACAGGCTTCCTGGTCCCATGCACAAATCCCCAAGTAAGAAAGGTCTATTTGGGCACATGGTTTTCAGAAGTTTTAGTCCATAGTAAGCTGGTCCTCGGCTTCTAGACCTGTGGTGAGGCAGTCTACAGTGGAGGAAAGGCATGCTTGAACAAGGCTATTCACCTCATGGCTGCCAGGGATAAGGTGTGCCCTTGAACGGTATGCTGTCATGACCATGACCTTCTTCCTCTAACTTGCTCACCTTTATCAGCATCTCCAGTGCTCCCTGAGGACTCCATTGCACTATGACTCTAATAAGGATGGATGTGCTAGAGACAGACCTGTCCCCATCCAGTCACCTCCCCAAGGTTCATCGGCTGGCAGCTAAGCGCCAAGTCTATGAGCCTGAAGGGGACATTTCATATCCAAACCATATCACTGATCCATTTGGTTGTTTAATTTTGCTCTCATTGGTTAATTGCCAAAAATATGTTGGCTATGAAATGACTAGGTTCATGGCTCCCTTGACTGGAGACTAGAAATCATAGAAATACTTCCTCATAACATGGCTATCAACGGAAAATAATAACGGGTATACAGTGCCTAACAGAGCTTGGCGGGTAAACAGTATTATTATTATCCACTTGGTGAGTTAAACACTGGAAAATACCGCCTAGATCATGAGACCACAGCGACAGCTCCTGCCTCTCTGTTTTGCTAAGGAAGAGTGATTGGTTAGTGAGAACATAGTTTCAGACTGTCTAGAGAGGGACCATAAGACCAGACATAAAATCTAATAATGCCTTTTTCATAGAAAAATATAGCAGGTGGTTCATGCTATTCAATATTGCTCAAATTCTTCTTGTATTAGCAATATAGTGGTCACCAAAGACAAAATTATTACTACTAAATAAGTAAAGTAAAAAAAAAAGAAAAGAAATCGTACCCTAGAAAAATACATTAGCCCGGGACAACTGGAAGGGGCTGTGGCTACTTCTGCCCTCACAGTGTCCTAGGAGCCGGGGAAGGGAAGTTTTGCAGCTGATATCAGAAACCCGTGAATTTTACTACTGATGACCCAGATTCAAAAATAATCAGGTAATCCAAAGCAATTTTTTTTTGCCACTGAATATAAACTTCTTGCATAAAATATCAATTATAACAACCCTGATTACTACCGCAGTTGTACCATGATCCTCTTAATTTTTCTTTCACAGCAATCAATCGATCTGCTACTTAATTCATATTTATTTAGATTACAGCCATACAGATGCCTTTTGGGTGCCGCCAGGAAAATTAAAATGTACATAGAGAGTATAATGTATGTAAAAATGCTTTGACAACCATGAAGTGCTCTGCCGAAGATTAGATTACTATCATTATTTTCTTTTAAGTCTTACTACAAGTAGATAAATTTTAACATCATTAATTTTAAAACCATTTCCATGAAAAACTTTAGTAGCTTGCTCAGTATCTTAGTTGTTGTTTTTTTTTTTTTTTTAAACAGGAGCTCACTCAGTAGCCCAAGCTTGGTTGAAACTTGGGGTGATCCTCCTGCCTCAGCCTCTCTAGTACTAGGATTTCAGACATGCTGCTGTGTCCTTTAAGGGTTTCCTTCAGTTCTTATCTGTGTCCATTCCAAATCATGCCTTATTTCACACCATCACAAACGCTATCCTTCAATTCTAGAAAATTTAGATGAGTTCATAGCCCATTTTTTCAGCCCCCTCATCTAAGACAAAAAGTTCTATTAGCGAATAACAACAAATTAAGAAATATATTAAAGTTCACCAGTAGCTTCAAAACCTTACATGTGTGCATACATGTGTGTTTATATAGACTTTGATCATACTAAAATCCCTTATACATATAGACTTTGATCATGCTAAAATCTCTTGTACAGACAAAATATAAATAACATGTACTTTGCCTTTGTGAGTTTTTCATAAAATATATAGTAAAACCACCAACCTCTGCCAATTGGTAAAACCTGTGTGTTTGAGGTTTTTTGTGGAATTGAAGATACATTTTAAAGAAGAAAGCTGTAGAGATTCCTAATTCCAGGATTTGTCTAGGGCACGAGGGAGGCACACTAACATCTAGAAGCAAGTCAGAGGGTAGTTGGAACTTACCAGGGCCTTTGTCCATCCATGTTCAGGCAGGACCTTGTCTCCTGCGTTCAGGTAGGTCATGCCTAGGGAACAGTGCGGTTCTCTACACAGGATTCCTGCCCAGCACATGCTGCCTGCTAAAGAGTTCCTTGAAGGGTCTCTATTAAAAACAGTTCCCACTTTCTTCTCAGTTCCCACCCTCTTTTTTGTCACATACATATCACGCACCATCTGTGGAGGCCTCTACTGTCACATTCTTTAGGTCAAGGTCACACAGGAAATGCAGACCAGGTGTTAGCCTGTGTTCCTCTCCATCTGCATCTGTGCTTGACATTTCACCATTGTCTCTTTTCAGGGAATTTGCTCCACGCTGTTCTGTGTGCAAGGAGCCTATCATGCCTGCCCCAGGCCAGGAGGAAACTGTCCGCATCGTGGCTCTGGACCGTGATTTCCACGTGCACTGCTACCGCTGTGAGGTCAGTGGCATCCCAAAGTCAGAGCAATCCTGAAACCTGGAGACCCCAGTGCCTAACAAAGACCCTAACGTTAACAGACAGGATCCAGCTCTGATACAGACAGTTAACGCAGTGACATCACACCGGTCACCCCACTCCACACGGTCCCTCTCTCTGTACAAATGTTTCGAATTCTTACCCCTCCAAATGTAGCTATGAGACCGAAACACAAAATTGTAAACTATTACAGTAGAGGAAGGGTGAGGATGATGATGATGATTGATGATGAATCTTTAGCTTATGTTGTAGTTAACTGCTTCTTTGGGCAGAGGGACCATTATCATCCAGTGAGAAGGACAAAAATTCATTCACTTCAGGGTTGCAGGAAGAGATTTATTTATATAGCAGTTGGCTTCCAAGCATCGCTTAAGAGGTCACCACTGTTAAGAGCTATGTGAGAGTCAGGGCAGGGTGCTGTAGAATCCATAAGCCAGACCCAGAATCAGCCTAGAAGTGAGAAGAGGGGCTTAGCTAACACTGTGGGGGGATAGGCAGCCATAATACAGCAAAGGGCAGAGGTCCTTCCCCTCATCATTTGGGTCTTAAAGGACACTACATTGAGAAGGTGGTTTGAAAATATTTTACCGTCTTCTGTGAGCTACCCAGGCCCCTCCTTCCACTTTTCTCTGACATTACTCGCTCATATGGATACAGCCCTTTCCAGCCCTTCGCCTATCCATGTGGAATGCAGGCTTCCTCATTCGTTCCCTTGTCCTCACAGCCCAACAGAATGCCCGAGGTTGTGGAGTGTCAAGGCTCTGAGGCCCCCAGAGAATCTGTCCACTCCATTCACTTCCTTGTCTTTAACTGACCACCTGTTTTTGCACTGTGCTCTGTTCCTCCATAAAGCCCAGGTTATATGCCCCTCGCCAAGCTTAACACAAAGAAATACTATAACTATTGTGAGGTCTAAGACCAGGGAGGAAATGAGAACAACAGTGTTCAGCCGTCGTCTTTCAGTGCCCCAGTGATGAGGCCACTGAGTATAGAGATCTTTTAGAGGACATTTGACAGCAGATACTGAGGCTCCAAGAACCCTCCCCCAACACACACAGACACACACACACACAGAGACTTAAAACTGTGCCATCTATGAATGATGTCATTGTGATTTGAAATCATTCTTTTGTTTAGTTCCGCTACTCAGTTCCTGCAGACATCTCACAGTCCAATATATCACTGGTTCTTTTTGGCAAAGCCAAACTTCCTGTGGATCACAACTGTGTCTGCTACGGTCCTTTGGGTCAGCCCTATTTATACGAGGAGTTTATTCTTTGTCGGCTGTAGTCATGGCTTCATTCATCTCCTTGCTCCTCTTGGAGAGCAGAGCGTGGAGCTTTGCAGCCGTCGTGGCCTGTGACAACATCTTCTAAAGTGAACTGGGCACATAGTGCTAAGTAGGACTCTGTTGATTTTCCAAGCAAACCCGCGTTGCTTCTAAAGGCCAGGACTGCCATTCAGTGCTACCTGATGCTTTACAGAGTGGACCTTCCCTCGTACCAACACTAGTGCGATCCTTTGCACGTAGGCAACCCTGCATTTGGTACAAAGTACGTTCATATCCCTTCTCAACTTTGGCCAACCCAAAAGCTTGATAAGGCACAAATTGCCTTAATTATTTTCAGGATGGCGTTCAGTCTTGTGTGTAGCCTGTACAGACAGTGACAAACGTAACAGTGGCACATGGGGAGCTTGTCTCCGGTTATGTGATCTGTCCCTCTCCAAAATGCTAGCCCTTTTGGAAAGTATGACAAAGTCTTAGTCCTCCCAGCCCTCGCATTTTTGTGCCGTTGCTACAATTGAGTAAATAATGCAGAAGCCATTGGTAGCCTTGCTACATGACAGAAATCACCTTTCTTTGATTTAAATAGCAATAATAGACTCCCATTCTTGCCCCTGTTCATTCTTTTGATGAAGGGTAGTGTGCATTAGGGACCATGCTTTTCCTTGCTGTTGTTGAGGAGAGCACATTAACCCCTGGGAGCCGAGAGCTAGAGACTCTTTCCTCCTTTTACTATGTTTTTTTATTCAGTGACTAGAAAAGTCATTTTACACTATTTGAATTTGCTTCTCTTGTTTGGACATTGAGTCTCTATAGTCCTTGCTGGCCGAGAACTTGCTATGTAGACCAGGCTGGCCTCAACCTCACAGAGGGCCACGTGCCTCTACTTCCTGCATGCTGGGATCAGAAGCATGCACTACCACTCCTGGCTCCCATTTGCCCTTATGTGATTAACCTCTAAATCAGTGTCCTTCATGATCTGCTATGTCACGTACTGAGGGTGCAGGACAGCGGGCACAAGACGGAAGTCGTGTCAAGATGGCTCAGGAAGCTGGACTTGTGCCCGTGCCTCACAGTTTCAATCCCATCCCTTCTGCCTCCGTTTCTCTAGGATTGTGGTGGTCTTCTGTCTGAAGGAGACAACCAAGGCTGCTACCCTTTGGATGGACACATCCTCTGCAAGACCTGCAACTCCGCCCGCATCAGGGTGTTGACCGCCAAGGCAAGCACTGACCTGTAGAGTTGGTCGCCCGCTTCGCTGCCCAGCGTGCGGCACCGAGAACGAAACACAAGACAAAGATAAGAGAAGAAATAGAAAAATAGAGGCAAAGCTCTCAATCCCTGGGATGGTCTCTGTTCTTCATCTGCTGTTAACCGTTTCTTTAGAAGCACATACAGGATGAGATTTGTTTAAGTTCCTACCAAATACTCATTTCACATTTAATCATGTAAAGCCTTGATGAGCCTTTGTTGTAAGGACCTCCACATTTTTGCACAAGATTACGCTCCATCCCATTCACTTCTGCATTCCTGTAACTTTTAATCCCCGTGTTTGTCTCACTTTCCATCTGGCTGAATAGGTTTTTAGTGTGGTATTTGCTGTCACATGATGTTTCCTGGGTGGATATGCCAGCCTGCAGGTGCCTTTAGCTTGACATCTCCTCCTGTCCCCTTTCCCTCTGGCCGTGGCCATGGAAGTCAAGCCATTCTGTTGCCAGGGGTTGGAAAGGTGGATTTCCCCATGGCACTGTACCACTCGTGTCTCTTGGTAAAAGTAAAGGTGGGGGGAGTGCGCATTCTCTGCTAGGCTATAAAGAATGTACTTGAAAAAATACATAAATTTACAGGAGCCCAAATTTACTTTGCCATTATCCAAATTCAAGGTGTGCAGTGCCCAGTGGTTGACGCTCATTCGAATGCATTTTTTTAGCCTATATCTAATAAGTGATAGGACCACCATTCACTACTGAGTTAAAGAGACCACATGGGAAATGCTAGCCAAAGGACTGCTTGAAAGCAATTTCAAAGCGTTTGAAAAGCCCAGTTTATTTTCAACGATTCTACCTTGAGCTTTTCGTCTCCATGCTATCTGGACATAAGACAGACAGACTTGCTTTTGGTACATTTCCAATTCTGTCTGACACTTCATCCTTACAAGGACTGTGAATTTTCCCCTACCACACACACGTGGTTCCTACAATTAACATTTATCTACAGAGAGATATGTATTAAGAGAAATCAAATTCTTCTCTTTCTTTCATTTTATAATAACCCAAATCTATTTTTTTTTGAAAACTGCAAATTTGGACCCATAAAACGAAGTTACATAACCATGTTTCCTCTTCTTTGAAAAAGAAGGAAAAGCTGGGCAAAGATTGCGAAACCAGAGTTTTATTATTCTGACAATCCTTCTGTAGCTCAAGTACATATTGCAGGAGACATTTTCCTATCTTCAGCGTGACATTTACACCACACTTTCAAAGACAATCCCTGAAAACAAAATTGTCTTCCTGAGCTGAAAATATGCAGAATGCCTGACTAGAGTCTTTATGCGAACTCTTATTAGCCAGCGAAACGCTTGCTTGCCAACTGGAGCCAGTTTGCTCGGTGGAGAGGAGACACTTCGCTTAGCAATAGCAGCTGGCCATTTTGTGAACTCACGGTTCTCTATCTTGGGATGAGATTTCCCAATCCTTTCTTTAAATCTTCTACAAATATATACTTTAAATTATGGAATACTTTAAATATACAGAAGGGTATAAATAATAATATAATGAATCCCTCTGTAGCTAACACCCAGTCCTAGACATAGAGAAATATAGCCGCCTTAAATCCCAATATACCTTTTTATTTCTTTATGCGGTCGGTGCTGGGAGTTGAGCTGGGGCCTCAAGTGTTGGCAAGCACCATCCCACTCCTGGATCCCCGGCCCTTCTGTGTCTTTTTATTTTTTTTTTTAAATCTTTATGACATGATGATCTTCTAGTCTGACAGTTTTAATTTTAACATTTAGAGCCAAAAAATTTTTAATTGCTTGTGCATGTTTCAAATTGCAAACCCATGCCTCAGGAATTCTTTGTAAAGTTGATTTTACTTGAATAGAAGTCATCAGAAAAGTGATTAAAAGAAACCCTTAAGCTTTTGTCACTCAGCTCGTCTGGGTCAATGTGGGGCTTCTTTAACTTTTTTCACTAAGCAGTTTGCATGCTAGAACCCCTAAAGCTGGATTTCAGGGGGCACCCTCTACTGCCTGCTCTTACCTGCTTCTCTTCTCTGGAGATGCACGAAGGGCAGCTTGTGGATTTCAGGATATGGTGGGTGGTGGCTCTATCCCTGAATTCCTGTGTTCCAGTTGAGAGGCTCAGCTGTGCCATTGACCTTGGAGAACTCTGACTGTCGGACAGTCGAGGTGGCAATACAGTCCACTTGAACTGACCAAAATCTTCAACATGAAATTCAGGAAACTGTCTTGATGCCAAAAGTAGGGTCCAGTTTAATGAGGGCAGGAATTATATCTAGAAAGGCAGTAATATTGCTATAAGTTTAGACACCAGAGGAAGAATTTATGTACTATTTATACTATAGAGCAATAACATCATGTGTGTATTACATTTAACTACTTCCCGAACCAGATGCTTCCATGCAATAGTTGCAAGGATTGCCACCACCGTTTCTCCCCTGAGGTCTTAGGACAGAGCTCTGCCTGCTTACAGCCATCCCCGTGCCTTCTCACCATGTAACCTCAGAGTAGCTTTACCAAAGAGTTTTAAAGTGAATTTCTTTTTAATATAGACATATACTTTTATAATAACGAACGTGCACGTACACATATACAGAAATATTAAGAATTAGATGTTTTTCTTTCACAAGGTCTAACCATGTAAAGGATCCTACAACTTCACTCTGCAATTTCTTTAATATATGATTTGCCTTGCTTTCATATTTTTTTACTCTGCATTTGATTTCAGCAATACCAAGTCATTCTACTCGTTACTCTGTTAGCTACGTAAAGTTTTGCCTACTGTAGAGATATAAAGATCGTATTACTTTAATGATTATACACAGTCTTTTGATATATTGCCTTACTATCATTTAAATACATAAATAGAAAAAATATGTCTGTAACTGAAAACTTGTAAAATGCTATCTGAATTGTTTAAATATCGAGAGCACAAACACTTTGTTCTTCTTTATAAAGTGTGATATGTAGGACAGGGGGAAAAAAGACCCACTGTCATGGGCTCTGCAGAGAACATTTCAAAATAAGATTCTATTTCTAGAGTGGTGGGGATGGCTCTCTAAGCCTTGCATCAAACAGACAAGTGCTCTCCCATAGCTAAGCCTCCCATCCAGAACAAGATTTTGCAACTGTTTGGAATCCCATCTCAGACTGGCTCAATATGGAGCTGGGCAAACAAAATCGCCTTTAAAACTCATAAATAAGTCGTCCCGAGTCCTAACTCAAGGCCTCCACGTTAATGAAACATTGCCATCTCTGCAGCTCAAAGATGTGGGTTTTTTCCCCCTGTCACCAGCACATTGTCGTCCCTGTTGGAATGACTTCTATGATCAAAATGACAACATGGGTTATATGCTGATTAATGAAATGGACTTAAAAACACTAATTGTTTTCTATGGGAAAATCTGCAGATATGTCTATGGTAAGCTGTTAAAAACATACGGACCTTAATGACGATGAACAGCTATTTTGTATTAGGGTCCAGGGGAGGGGGAGCACACTCTGTATGTGGCTGCAATAGAGCATTGGTACACCAGAGACAGGCCTCCGCCAACACAACCGTCAACCATCTTCCTACTTACTACAAATCCTATTAATGTGAACCAGTCGGGAAGAACAGTGTTATTTCTATTTGATATGGTTTGGGCTTCTTCTGTCAGCTCTGTGTCGGTTGCCCCCTGATCCTTCCATTATCAAGTTTTGAAGGGTGTTGGGCAAATTATGGCAGCTGCTAAGGAGATCAGGGAAACACTGATGCCACCTCCCAGCCTCTCACCATCCCTCTTGGCTTGGAAAGGCATATTTTTTTATATATACATGTCTAGAAATATTGCCATTCTACCTTAGTATTTCACATTTGTAGTTTAAACAAGTGATTGTCCATCTGTTGCCTCGAGCTACAGTACATGTGTGTTATGAATGAAATATGACAGCATGTTCCATACCCCTGCTTCAGCCATCTGTAGACAACCAGCAACCGAAAAAGATACCTCTGCAAAATGTGCCTTGAGTCCTGTCCTGGGATGGCTCTTTGGGTGCACTTTCCTGAGAGACAATCAGAAGCCACCCATAAGTGTGCCTTATTCTTAAATAATCTGTTTACACTACTATGACTGTTGCTCAGTATAGAAATACTAAATCCCAGAGCTTCATGATATCACACACAGACACGAGGCAGGGGGAATGGAGAGAGAAAACTGTAGCACTTCCGTCTTAGGGTACTGTCTTCCATTTGGAGGGACCTCATGGGTGTCTGTGAGAGCGTGCTCCCTGCCAAAGAGCTATGTTGGGTGTCCTAAGTGCTTGTGATTGGATCTTCCTCTTGTTTTGCTAGAATAATAATACCCATTCACCACATACACCTTTAAATTGGATTGTTTATTTGAATTAATAAGGAGCAGTCTTGATTATTGAGCAAGTTATAATTGTGGGACAACCATGAATATTTCCAGACAAGTGATTTAGTTGACTGATAATTGGAATGGACGTGCTTGTGGTGCGGTTGGTTTGGTTGGCATAGCTGTATTTCAGATCTTTTACGATTAACCTGGCCAAAGCTGCTGTGATTAATGCAATTGTTTAGGCCTTGCTTTCTCCTCTTCTCTCCTTTCTCACCTCCCTCCCTCCGCTTATTCCTTCTTTCCATTGTACCTACTGTTGCTGCCCTATTTGGCCCGTCTCGTTAGTTAGGATACTATACCATTACAATTGCATTAAAGGAGAAAGGCTACCAGAACATATGCTTACCATCCAGACAAAACTTGTTTTACGGGTGCGTACTCTTTCAGTTGCGTCTGTTCCTAGAGGGAGCTGCCGTCTTTCCACTGTAATTTAATCAGTCCTTATCGAGGACTTCGGTAGTAGAGTCCTTTAAAACTGAACCAGTGTTTTCACTCATGTGTATGCAAAGAGATCTCTCTAAAGCTAGACTAGGATTTCTTTTTAACACAAGCACATACATGTTGACCACAAAATACTTGTATTTTTAGTGGTAGAACATCATGTTGTCCCTTTGACATGACTTGATAATTTTCCTTGTGGTAAGGGGAAGCTACTAACTTTGAACATTGCAGCGCTTAGCCCATGGTCCATATTAAATAATAATAATTGACTCTATTTGCAAGGGATAGTTTAACACTAGGATTTTCCTTAGAATGTAGATTGTTTTGCAGGCATATTTTCCCTTAGCACAGAGGAGAAAGATACTAATTTACTTTTCTGTTCTAATTTTTCCTTTTTTATGCAAAAATTTGAGACAATATTTTAGTTAGCCACCATGCGGATGACTAATTGTGGAGAGCTATGTAAAAGACACACTTTTATCCACGTGATAAATCTTTGCTCCAATCTTTGCTCTTTGTTTCTTCTGATTGTTGTTTCTTTTATAGCAGTATCTAAGCTGAATGATAAGTATCTTTACTGCTAGCATTTGTTAAAAATTAGCATACAACGAATATTAAAATTCTTTTATAATATTTAGAGTAAATGGCTAAGTTAAGTTTTCCAAGCTACCCATCCACTTAGAAGCAAGCTAAAACTCCCTTTACCAAACTCGGATAGCCATCTTCTGTGCTCCAGTCGAATATTGTTTAAATGGCCACAAATGCACTCTATGAACTTGTCTTTGAACAGAACTTCTAAATTCAGTTCTCAATCCGAGAAGCAGAATGTTCTGCCAAGAATACGGATATCACCATGTCACCCCGTGCTCTACCCGAACGCTGGGGGGGGCGGGGGGGGGTTCTTATGGAACACAGACACTCAGATGCTGTGCCTGGGTGAGCAGTGTCAGTGTCCTTATAAAGATCTGCATCCTCTTGCTTTCATGCCCGAGACCATAACATTTATTCCTGGGTACGGCCAATGTGGAATACTACTCAGAGCAACCCAGCCTAGTTGGAAAACCACATAAAACCATTGTAGATTCCAGACTTTTCCCCCTCTTCTCTGTGGTTTGACTCACGGAGTCCTTCAGCTTCTCATTGATTGGCAGGGACAGTGCCTGTCACTCTCCTGCCACCAGTGTCCACATTACCCCCAATGTTTCCTAATTCTATTCTCATCCATTCTGTGACTCAGCGATGGCTGTCCGTCGGGGTGGGAGAAAGCACTTTTCTTGGGGTGGAAAGGAAAAGGAATAGGAATCCTTCAAAGGTAAACAACGACCTCCCTGGAAAGGAAGTCCCCTGTAATGGTGGGGCCACGTGTACAAAACAGCCCTCTTATTTTCTGTGCTGGTTGGTTTGTTTGTTTAGCTTGTTTCACTGTTGCTTTTGATGCTGACAGAATCAAAGTCATTGAGAAGACAGGAAGTGAGCTAAGGGAGATTCCATCCACAAGAGTCCTGCTGTCTGGCAGGACATAAAGTGTCTTGTGTCCTTTTCCTTTATGCTTGTCTTCTCAAAGATCTCACTTGTCTGTGTTCCCATTAAGAATAGAGAAAAAGCTTCTTGACACTTGGTAAGGTCTGCATCAATTCTAGTCTTTGATTTTGAAACTCTTCCATTCATTTCTAACATTTGTGTCTCAAGCAAGCAGCTTCCCTTTGTGATCAATTTATCCTGTTTTGTTCTCTTAATGTCTTTATTCCTTAACTGATCTTGGTTTAATGATCACTGTTTACTAACTCTGAGAGTCAGGCTGACTGCAATAAGATCAAATAGTCAGTCTGTATTTCTTCCTAGAAAGGTGTGTGGCCTGAGATAGACTAGTTCCTCACAATGGCCTTTGTGGGAGTTCGGGGAGGACATGTGAGGATACCCTAGGCTGACCTACTGGCTTCATTGGGAAGTTGAAGGAAGAGTCCTTAAGACCCAGCCAGACAGCATAGGCTTCTTCCTGCATAGATGCATTGGCTATTGGATTCTGGAGTCTTAATCACAGCAGGAGAAGCTTTTATATCTTCAGGCTCAGTGAAGGAGGAAAGGCATCAAAAAAAAAAAAAAAACTGAACTGCTAATCCCCTCCAATCAGCATTATAGTTGGAGGAGGGGGGATGGTTGGCCAGACACACCCAACCCATACATTAGGGATAGGAAGCAGCTTCCTGTGGTCTTTGTTGCAACAAGCACACTCTTACTCTTATTGAAGCACGCTACATCCTCATCTCTTGCAGCACGTGTGCCTGTCTTTTGAGCCCTCCAAAAGGAACAAGTAGGCCTTGTCTACTTTTCTTTTCTTCTAGGAACACAATTAGGGCTCCGGGCCATCTGTCGCACTTGGCGTTCCCATTCTATCACGGACTCCTTGCTACACAGTGAAGTTTGCTTAAGTAGTGCTTGTGTCAAGGAACTCATCACCCGGTGAGGAAGTCCCTTTGTACCAGCTGTCCTTGTCATTAAAAGAGAGCCAGTCTCAGGGCTTATGTTTCCTGGGTCCATAAAACAAACCTACAAAACATAATAAAATGCCGGCTTTCCCCTCGTTTTTACCTCCACTCTATTTGTTTTGTTTTTCAGTCAAGTATTATTTTTAAAAACAACTTCTGTTTTTAGCTGAGGAGTAGAAATGCTTTACACAGTCACAAAAGCAGCCGAAATGATTTCTGACAATCACAGGTTAGATGTTGTGTGAGTTCCGTCATTTGTCTTTTCTATTCAGGAAACACCGCTGCTGTTCAGACAGCGGTCAGGTAGCTTCGTGTCCTCCCTTCGTAACCGTCCGTGAACAGTTTGCTCCATTTATCTGACCCATTGATAATGACCTTAAAAAGGATGGGAAACCTCACTGTGTAACCTCCCGCTCGCAGAAAGAAAACGTCCAAAGGAAAATGTGGTACTGATGAAAACAGCCACTTCTGATCAGTTCTTCAGCACAGAAGCCTACCATCCTTAAGGATAGGAATATGTGGTTCTGCTTTTTATGTAAAAACATATAAATTCTCTCGCCGTTGCCCTGGGTTACAGTTTAGCTAGCAATCATTAGTCTTAGGAAGGGCAGGCTTGTTTCTCCTCTACATCTGAATCTGAGAGCCCTGTAACAAGAGCCTGCTATCCGCCCCTGGGTAGGTAGCACCTATGGGTGAATTTCTGAGCTGTAAAATAATGAAATTCCTGAGAGAGCTTACAAACTGCATTCACACGTAGAACAGCCCTGGGAAGATGGTTATTAATAGCCCTGTCCTAGAAGAGAAAGCTGAGGTTCAGAATCATTAAGTGTCTTGCCAGAAGCAATAGAGCTGGTAAGTGTGAGATCTGGGCATTCACCCAGCCTTGTCCCGCACATCTCACAGGTTACTGAAGGCCCTGTTCAAAAATAGCCACGGAAATTCACAGGGGCCGTTTGGGTATCCGTGGCGGGTGCACGTGTGTGTTCCAGTGTTGCACATCATGAAGAGCTTGCGCATGTCTCTGTCATCTTGTGGGAAGCCCTGGGTCTTTGTGACCAGCACTGGGAGGGAGCCTGTGGCATAAAGGTCACCGAGAGCAAATGACTGTGCAGAGAGCACAGTGCAGCAAATTTCCCCAGAGGGCATTGGTTTCCATTAACCACAAAGCTCTCTGGGCCTGTCAAGTTCAGCATATCAACTGAGACCGTGTCATTTACAGTACAGTGGTGTGCAGAGGTGACCTGAGCTTTAGGAAAGCCCTCCGTCCTGTGGGCTTGTACGTCCCACAGAGGCAGAAGCTGCTATAAGTTAAAAAAAACAAAACCACACTAGTCTCTCTGTTCACGTTTATGTAGAGCCTGCTAAGAGTGTGCTGACACAACAGGAATTTCTGATCCAATAAACCCATGGCCAAAAGGCCTTGAAATGTCTAAGCCAGTGCTATTGAGTGAATGGTCTTTCTGAAATTTAGCCTTCTTCCTTTGATAGGCGGTACCTCTTAGGCTGTGGGATGTTTGTAATGAATATCCCCTCATCACAGGGAGCTTAGCACTATGTTTAACAACAGTCTTACTTGGAGGACCCCAGGTATCTTCTACAAGCCGGCCCACATCACAGCTCAACAACAACAACAACAAAAATACCCTTTTGTGGCTGACTCACTGAGAAGCTGTTCATCCCATGTGCAGTCAGGGCTTTCTTTTTTCTGTCTTGTCTACCTTCTGGTTATGTGCTACAAGTGGAAATCCACCGATCAATTAAAATATCCTTTCTCCACAGGACATCTGCACTAAATCTAGAAAGCCTTTCAAACGCCCTAGTTTGTAAATTCGACATTTTCCTCCCGGAAGTCTCAGCTCCATCCAGCCGCTCATCTGCCAGTTCCCTGAGATTAGGAAGAGGCAAGTTAAGCAGCAGATAGCCTTTCTGCCTTTCCCAGTCTTCCCTGGGGGGGGGGGGGGGGGGGGATATAGGGCACAGAGAGGACCAGAAGGTTGGCATCATTGCCTGAGCCCTCACAGCCCCAGGCGGGAAAGGTGCCTTAACTCTCTGAGAGCTTTGATGGATTTTATGGCCAGTAGATTGGGAAGCATTTCCTTTGGCACAAATGGGGAGCCCACCCAAACTATAGGTTAATTAAACCTTTTGAGCTCTTCTCAGAATTCCCAGATGAGTTTCCCAAGGAGAGACTTGCCACTGTAGAGCAGACCCGTCTCATTAGACAGAGGAGCAGTAAAGGGGTGAAGGCATAAGATTGTTCCTTCATGAAAATACTCCTCAGATACCTTGACGAATCAGCCACAAATCCTGATTTGCCTTCATATAATGTAAAGAAAGGGAAAAGGGAGGGATGAAATTTTCCCTTCTTCCACTCTATATAATATAGTTCCAAAGATTTAGAGAAAGCACAATTGTCTTTGAAACACACACACACACACCACACACAGGTCTTCACCAAGAAAGCTGATTCTCAAAAAAAAAAAAAAAATCTTAAAACATTTCAACTCTTCAGGCCAGGGAATTAATAAATTCCTGTAGACCTGACCCATTTCCATAGCTACCAAAAAGGAAAACAGAAAGCTACTTAAATCTTGTGTGGATCTGTTTATCTCTTAAATATGTCAAAGCAGGAGTGGAAAGCGAGCTGTTTATCTGCCTTGCTTGAGTCTCTGTTTCTGTCAGGGAGGGGGAAAGACTAAGGAACCAGCATTCTTGAGGCACTGTGTTGCCATTTCCCGTAACATCTGTTTCGCTCTGTATTGAGTTGTAGGAATTCATATCTGCTTTCGTAAACCCACATCCTCCATCACTGAGGAGTAAATGTTAAACCTGAATATCTTTGCTTACCAAACTATTTCACTCCGTTTCTCAGTCAGAAAATGTGAACTAGGCAGAGCTGGCGTTCACATCTACATCCTCTCTCGACCACCTTGTGCTTTCTTTCTTAGGGGAGCCTCGTGTGAGAGAAAAACATCCTAGTTCCTCTTCATCCCTCTTTGCCTTTGGATAGCCATGATGCTCATTTAGTAATTAAAGGTTTGGAACTTGGCCGGGTTATGAGGTGTCTGCCTAACGTAGTTCGTTCCTTCGAACAGACTGGGAAGAAAGGGATTTTCATCATTTAAATACCAACCATGAGAATGGTCTCATTTTGCCTAGCAGATAGTAAATTTGGCACTGATATTTGGGTGATCTGTGCGTTATAGTAATCTTTTTTGTTCTTCTTGATTTGTAGAAGAGTGTCAAATACATCATCAGTGTATGGGATTACATCATCAAAAGTCCTAGTACCAAAGACCTCATTCACCCAGTAGCAAACTGAATTAGCCTGGGCCCTCCTTGTACCTCAAGCAGA